TCCCTCATTAATTTTATTATATTATAAAAATTATTAAAATTTTTAATAAATTTTAAAGAAATATATATTTAATGAACATTTTAAAATTTTTAATAAATATTAAATAAATCAGATCTTAATCTACGCTTCATGCAATTGGTCTATACAAATATATATATATATAAAAAGCTTTCAATACAATTCCAATTGCATCCTAACTATAATTAGAGAAAGTATAATTCAAACTAGGAAACAAATAACTCATTTTAAATTGGGTATTTTTTTGCCCAAAAATTATGTGATTAATTTAGTTTTGTCAACTAATGAAAAAAAATCGTTAAGAGCTCAAAAAACGGCGTAAAAAACACGTGATGTGAGCTCAACGGGGTCGGGTAGACATGAAGTATTTATCCACCATTAGCAAAGCACCCACCATTACTAAAATCCAATTGAGCCTGTAGTTGGACAATTCAGGTCCAACTCAAAACGGGCGCCTTGTTGTTCAACTTGGGTGGCCCAAAAGGCCGAAAGAGACACAGAAAGGATGTTGATTTCACCTCTCCGATGGTTAAGAGTTAGGGTGTCCAGAGACTTCCCAGATAACTATTGTCAAATATTGGGAAGAAGCATATATTCCCAGAATCCTCAGTGGGGAGGATTCCAAAGAATTGAAAATTGTTTTCTTTTCTTCTTTTTTTATAATTTATTTTATGTGGGTTGAAAACTGGTTGACTGGTTTATTTATGTGATTCTTCATATATTTGCGTTTTTTATTAGTACATCTTCATGTATTTAATTATTTTGATGATGATTTATCATGTGCTTGAGGATGGTGTTCTAGATCCAGAAACAACAGTGGTGTCTGTATTCCAACTCCCATATATTATGACTGCCCAACTGAAGTCCTGTGGCGTGAAATATCTTAGATAAATGCAGGGGCTAGCTTTTACATTGTTGGTGGAGACCCTGCAGGCATGGGCCATCAGCTCGAGAAAAGAGATTCACATGATGCTTGATCATGGAACAAGGTATATTAAGATCAGTTCTGGGACTTAAACGACTAAATATGTAGAATATCTATGTAGAAATTAAAAGAATGAATTAATTATACCCTACCCAAACATAAAGGAGAAAACTAAAACAAATCATAGGATATGCAAGCAGATATTTAAAGAATGAATGAATTTTTGAAGCATTATGTGCGCTTCTTCCATTTGAGATAGCTGAAAATGGGTCTCTCTGGCACCGGTATGCACTTGACGATCCAGCCAATGGGCCAAGAGACAGCAGCCATGGCGATGCAGGCGCCCCATTGCCCCCAATTCAATCTCTCTGTACCAGCAAAGCGCTTTAGAAACTCCACTATCACCACTTGAAGAACAATGGTCATCCCGACGATCCCTAAAAATAGCCTGTTCTTATGAATACCCTTGAACACATTCTTCTTTTCCAGCTCCCTCGCGTTGAATTCATTGAAAACTTGGCAGAGCACAAAAGTGTTGAAAATCAAGGTGTCATCCACGGCTGTAGTTACTCCAAATATTGATTCTCCTTTGAATTGCAGGGTCAGAAGTACTGTAACTTGGTAAAGAGCTTGAGCTAGGAGGTTCCTCCACATGATATTGGTAATCAAAGGCTCTGCGCGGCCAACAGGTGGCTTCTTCATCAGCTCCTCGGTGGGCTTCTCTGTAGCTAGAGCCAGAGCACCCAATGTGTCCATGATCAAGTTCACCCACAAAAGTTGGACTGCCGTTAAAGGAACTTCTCCAGCAGAAATCGCTGCCACGAAGTTGATCACCAGAGCAGCAACATTTACTGTCAGCTGGAATTGAATGAATTTTTGTATGTTGGTGTAAACGCATCTTCCCCACTTCAAAACGGTGGCCACAGAAGCGAATTTGTCATCCAGGATGACAATATCGGAGCTCTCTTTCGCAACTTCGGTCCCCTGAATCCCCATTGACAATCCAATGTCAGCTTCTTTAAGTGCTGGAGCATCATTGGTACCATCTCCAGTGACTGCAACTACATGCCCTTTCTGTTTCAAGCACTGCACCATGAGAAGTTTGTCAAAGGGAGATGATCTTGCCATAATGCAGATCTTCTCCACCTTCTCCATCCTCTCTTCCGGTGTATAATTCCGGAATACCTCGCCTTCCACGACGGCTCCACTATCCACGTCCTGACCCTGCTGGAGAATCCCACATTCAGTGGCAATAGCTCTTGCTGTGAAGACATTGTCGCCAGTAATCATCTTGATGTTCACTCCAGCATACTGGCAGTCGTGCACAGCCTTCTTCACCCCTGGCCGACATGGATCCTTGATACCCACAAGTCCCAACAGGGTCATGTTTTCTTCTTGAAGCTTTTTCTTCTCTTTCACATCTTCTTCCTCTGTTTCTGCAACTTGTTTGTGAGCGAAAGCAATGCACCGAAGACTGCTTGCTGCCATTCCCTGAATAATTTTCTTGAATTCCATCCTTTCTTCTCCATTAAGATCTTTCATAACTCCTGAAGCATCATAGTAGCT